ATTTTCGGGTTTCCATGTACCGTCGTTTCATTCATACAAGCATTTCGTAAAGTATACTAGCCACCTTACCCAAATATAGCATATATACCAATATTTCTCTTCATAAATCTGGTTGTAGCAAAATATAGCAGACCACCACCTTTGTGGAAGTCTAGTCGATCTCGATTATCTGTGAGTATAAAAGATAACATAAAGTTTCAGTAGTAAATGCAGCAGTACTTGAATCCGATATACATGATACCTTAAACGTCCTGGCGAAGTTATTGTGGTTGCATTGGAATCTCTCATCGTTGTTGATTTGAAAATTGAATGCGCGGCGGGGAATAATTTACAAAACATGCCAATATTGAGCTCACTGGACTAAAGCTGACAAACACTCAAACACATACATATATACCGCCATGGACAAATCGATTCACCGCCTCTCATACGTAAATTTTTAGTCATGAACCCTTCTCCTTTAAAGCGACAAGACACAAATACAATCAGCCAGCCACAGCAACCGCTACTCTGATAGAAACCTTTTTTCCCTTTCGATTCTTTATAGCGCTTCGCCATCAGCCAACAACCTGGCTGAACCTCAGAAGGCCTCGACCTCCTGAGATCTGAAAGAGGTTAGGAGCAGTTCTTCAAGACTCATGATACCGCAGATAAATCTCTTGGGCGCGAGCCAGCGTAAACAAGTGTGCTTTTTCGTAGAGAGGAGAACCCGTGTCGGTTGCCACAAAAGGAAGGGCTGTCTCCCTGCGATTCCCGAGCGTCCCTTTCTACTCGTTTCATTTGTGTGGCCTCCTTTTGCTACTGTAGTGGATTGTATGTGTGTGTGTGTGTCCAGTTTTCATTCCTTTTTTTTGTTTTTATCAAAGACACTTAGACCGATGAGCGATACTCGTCTTATGCCTGTCCCGCTTTGCCCCTCGGGGGCTGTTCGTATTCGCGTGTGCTGCAGCGGTGTCACCACTGAAGAACTACTTGGATAACAGTCAATCATCAGGGGACGGAAAGGGATGGGGGCACATCAATGGCGGGCCAGACGAAACAGACACAACAGAGAAGTAAGAACGTATTAGCCAAATACCACTCAACGCGCAACCAATTAATTACCTAATTACCGTTCCTTTTTCTCAATTTACCTTGATTGAAGACAAACGTCAAACGACATGATTGCAGGACGCAATCATCTTCAGTGGTCGAAAATAAACGCTTCTTGGACGAATGTTTTTAACTTCACTTGAGAGCTTTGCCAGCCTAACACAAAACATTACAAATACGTACCTATATTAGGGTTGCTTTCCTGCCTTCTCATAAACATTATTATGACACATAGCAGGAAAGATTCAGAGAAAAAAATATCTTCTGAAAAGAAGACGTTACTTTTTACAGAAATTCCGAGCTATTGACTAAACTAATAAATTCGAACTTTTTTACACGAACTTTCACCTTGAAAAGCGCAACTTTTTATCTGAAAGCGTTTTTGTTTAAAGCTTTTTAGTTAAAGTTAAAGTTTAGATGAGCTTCAGTCAGCGTTATAGCACACATGATACCATTCTTCTAAGAAAACACTACTTATTGCTTTTGATCTGATGATTTTCATCAGATGTTTGTCATTAAGTAAACTTTGTAAAATGGAAGGCAAGCGATCATATCACAAAGTGAACTTCGGGTTATGTGATGCAAAACATCGAGTACCTACGGCAATATTTTTGAATTAAAGGCCACCCTTACTTTCCCTTTAAGACAAAATTGCCTGCAATCAATTAGCTAAGCCTTTCGTGATTTCGTTTCATTAGCCTGAAATAAATTATACTGTTCCAATTTAACTTATCACTGCCACCATCTTCTCGCTCAAAGGAGCGGAAGCCAACTCTACCAGTTATTTGGGTAGGGCCATTTGCGATCCTATCTTGGCTAGTCATTCAACTTGTTTGTTTGCCGTATGTAAAAAAGGCCCGTCGATTATTTTCTAGCAGTTAACAGAATATCAATGTAAGTTACTCCAAATGGGAATCCTTAGATGTCCAAACGTTTCCCAGTTTTACACGTCTCCGCGCGTTCAAATGGATCTCAGCGATTCATTAACAATCCAATCAATCTGTTCGAACATTGTTTCGGTCATCTGGCTGCGGGTCGTCTACGACGTCAATATTGAAACGTTTTTAGTGTTTTTTATGCCCCGAACTTGAGCTTTGAGTCATTACTTTAAATGTCTGGCTCTTAGCATGGAACAGGCCGCATCTACGGCCGGACTCGAGCTTAGAGAACCATATGTCTCGAGCTTTAGCAGGCAAGCCTGCTATCTATTGCGCTATTACAAGAGTCTCGACATGAATGTTGAAATCTTTTCCTGAAGCAAGCCACGTACTTCGGCGCCGTCCTCCTTAAACATAACGAAACCCTTATCGATAGTAAAGGATTTCATCAATAATGTGAGATAAAAAGTTTACTAACATATATCTGATGGGTTAATTGCAGATGCAATGCTTTTATTAACAAATACGTAACGTACGCGTGTCTGTTCTTTTTCTCGATCTCGTAATTAGAGCTGAAATTATTCACGCTATTCTATTAAATCTGGAAAATGCGACCTACTGTTGGATTGGCTCATCAGCCGTTGGTCATGGGCATTTGCGTTTGCCATAGAGGAACTATAAAGGATACACGACTGCATAGCATATATAGGCTAAACTTCTCTCTAGGCTATTGAAACACTTCCGGAGGCTGTGATAGTATTCAGTAGCCAGTATTGTCCTGCAAAGTATCCAGCGCAGCTTTGATAACTGTCATAACCTTTATCTAACATGAGCCGGAAGATGGCTGTGATCGCTTTGAGGGCGTACCCATGCACTATGTAGATATATAGGGAATGGCCGCGAGTGCCAATAGGTAGATGCAGGCAAACGTATTACTAACATCTGCGCAACTAAATGCCACTAGCAACATAAATAAATCCAGCTTGTCTACTAGCTGACTTCAAATGAGCTATACATTACAGTTAAATGTCGATTATATTGATACGATTCCACGAGAACGTAATTTGAAATCAACGTGGGAGTGAACTTTGACCTCGTTCGAAAATGGCCCTGAACACCGTCCACGCACCCGCATTTTACCTGCGGATTTTCTCGCGATTGTTTCTCTTTGTGTAAACCGTGTGTCGGAGAGCGCTTGCAATTATTCAGTCGTCACGATGCAATGTGCGCATTTCTTTCCACTAAACACAGTCGCATGCCGCCGTCATAGACCGGCCGCCAATGAACAACACTGACACTCGAGCACAATAAGCCGCTAAGGGCATAGGACAGCTTAGGCTAGTCGTGGCTAATGGGCCTGCGAAAAGATATTGGGTTTTCTGTCTACTCACAAACTTACCCGCAGGGGTGTTCGCAACTGGCTCGCTCCCCCGTGCAAATAGAACAGCGAGAGGCTATATCAGACATGAGACGATACACACCAATACACGACTGCATTAGCTACGCAGGTCCGAAACACCGACGACGACGGCGGCGACGACGTACTTAAAGTAATTATCAAACGTGGCTGCTCATGGCTCCATTTCTTCTTTCTCGTTGTTATGCAGCCTGAGTTGATCCAATCTCATGTAGTCTCGAAGGAGATTTCTCATCGGTCGGATTGGCGGGCTGGCTTGCTTGTTGGGTCCGTTCTGCTTTCTAGCAAGGACCGCTGTATTCGCTATCGGCTTCGCTTGTTTCCCTGGCCATCGCACGAATAGTGAGCCCTCCCACACATACAAACACGCATGGCCCTATACTCTTTTTGCTCACCCACTGTCCTCGAAAGCTGCATCACAAACAACTGACTGATTCGCCGTAGATATCTTGTTCGCGTCCTATTCCGATGATCGCTTCTGTCTGTCGCCACCGTGCACGACGCACCGTCATTGAGCGATGGACCACTGCGTCCACCCATCCTTGATGGGCTGAGCACGGAGTGGTGGATAAGCCGCTTAGCGCTGCTCTCGGATAGCAACTATCTTTGCATCCCTCTCTATTCATAGGGACAAGACGCGCACCGGTAACGCAACTGAAACATTCGCTACTGCTGAGCGGCGCATCGTAGAAGACGATCACAGGGGAAGACCTGCCGCGCCGTACTCGTTGAAGTACTTACCAAAGGCGCACTAGGAGTCGCTCGATGAGCAAGGAGAGAATCGACTGCTACTGCCGCCGCTATCCTGCTAGGAACGGTTAGGTAGTGGCTCAGGATTTCAGGAGTGACTTCACTGCTCTGCTTAGCTCTTTCTCAATCAGTTTCGCTGCAGTTAGTGGGGTGCGACCAATCGGTAAGTACAATTTTATAGTGATTCGATATATAACCTCCCAAACGAAACAGCGCTTCTAAATGGACCAAGATAAAGAGTAGACGGGGAGAAAGTTCCAATACCAGACATTTGACTACTTAGATAAACATGATAACATTGTAAAAAGCTATCGTATACCTTAGGTATACGTGACGCAGTGGGTGCGAGCACTTGGTGTATCCAGCCTGTTCATACTCAACAGGGACTGCGTCAGTTTCAACCTGATGAAGTTACGAGATGATCGTCGCTGCAATCGGACATTAACGACTTATGATAATGTACTTGTTATCGTTACGACTATGAAGACCAGAGCGCTGAGTTATGGAGAAGGGAGAGCTTAGTCTGGGAACGAGCCTGATTTTGTTGGAAGCTCTTACATCTTGTGCTACATAATAACGAAAAAGTTATTAGAACGAGTTAAGGTTTGTTTGTTTTTCTGTTATTCGATCTAGCTAAGACTATATCCAACGGTTTATGTTCTGACTGTGAATTGCTTCACTGATCGACGCAGTGGGAACGCGGCCGATCAAGCTTCGCTTATAAAAAGCAGACATCGATGCTGTCGCTTATCGATAATACATATAGCGTAAAACCAAAACGTTAGTAGCGATAATAAGTCGAAAAAGCAGCTATACTGGTATTAAACATTAAAAGAAAGATACTGTTTTATTTAACTGTCAACTTCAGTGTTGTTCAAGTTGTTGCTTGTATAACACGACGCTATTCTTCTAATCCACATTCACCTTCACACGGTTTTGCTCTACACTTATTATCATTTATAGTAATAATGCCTGATAATCTAGTTTTTTTCCTTTCATTGTCTTTACTTCGCGATGACCCTCTTCACCGGCATGGGAACGTTCTCCGTGCATATATATACACGTGTATATACGTGCTGTATTTATAACTCGCTGCATACTGTCGTCGTTCTAACTTCGCTCACCCTCAGCATGCAACGGCGCACGTTCTCATGCCTTTCATAATATTGTGTCAGCTGAATTGTATACTATTTCGTATTATAATTACTATCATATGACAATCTAGGAGCAGGCCCCCCCATCATGCGATGGAGGCCAGTAGACAGTAATCCCAAACCCCTTTCATTAGTAATCTAGTCAAATTTGAAGTCAACTATGGACGAAATGTTGATCTTTCCCGGTTGTAAAAGGGCCCGAGTGTGTCTCCCCGTGACGCTTGATGGCACATGATCAGCTCGTGAAACATTTATAATTATTATCATCAATGATATAATGACATGACGTCTACGGGTGGGATATTTCTTGAATACGATAATTATTGATCACGAGAGGGTTCCATAGTACCGTCCATAAACTCATACAATCACTATTTATTTAGATTATGTAGTATTCCATCACATATCATGATTATAGTATATATATATATAACTTTGCTGTACAACACAAGTACTATCGAAGGGTTGTCGAAAATTGTGATCGAGATACATATTTATTCCATTAGATAATAGATCATTTACAGAAAGAGGTCTTTCCTCTATTTCCATATTGTCACTTTTCCATCTTGCAATATTGGATAATAATAATTTTAGCAGTAACAATATAGCATGGACCTTAAGCCTTCGATAATATTATACTTATTATTAATCTCGTTTACTCAGGAAGCCGACAAAAATGTCACCTTACGAGTTGTTCTATCAATTGAATTTATATAATAATCATCAGTGATCATTCTATGGCACTGGGTGTATCGGTTAAAACGCAGCGTGAATTTGAATAGGATCACTCATTTTTTTTTATATGTGATTAAAAGTTTAATCATATATTGAATTGGTTATCATATCACATTCTAAAGAAGGTCTTCGCTATAAATAACAGCCTGTAACTAGATCACGTTATTGTACATAGAAAGATGCACGCACAATACCTTTTCTAATAGAAGTCTTTGAGTATTCTACAGGCCATTTTGCATAATTTATATGAACAGATAATATGAATAATAAGAAAAATGGGAATGTAATTAAATTCTTATACAATTTAATAGAATATTCGAACTCTCACCGTCTCTTCGGTCGTTTACCGCAATATGCTACTATTAGCACATTAATTGGGATTATTAACTGGTGGTTATTATATATCTACCTGTTACTGGTGTGTATGAAGTTAATTAAAGGCTATATTATTTCTAATTATCTCAAATCTATCTGTGTGACATAAATAAGTTAAGGTAAAACGAAATTTTAAGGAAATAACGTTACGAGAAATGCGTAAGCAGTCCGGATAGTTCCGGGTCTACACATTTTCACAGACTGAACGAGGGGGCACAGTAAGTCAATTTCGAAAAACTTACTTAAATCGTATTTAGATTGTATTAGTCACAATCCAGTTAGCTTTTTGCGCGGGCACAGTAAGTCAATTTCGAAAAACTTAAATCATATTTAGATTACATTAGTCATAATCCAGTTGGCTTTTTGCGCGGGCACAGTAAGTCAATTTCGAAAAACCTAAATCATATTTAGATTATATTGGCCATCATCCAGTTAGCTTTTTACGCGGGCACATTTAGTAGACATATATATACATATATACTAAATTTGCTGAATTAAAATAATGCTTTGAGAGTATATAAATATTATGATAAATTAACTGCCACATAGTTACCTTTAACCGGTTAGAAATGAATAGTTTCATCAAGGTGCGCACATATCAAGGAACGATTTTATACCTACTTTATGACGGAGAAACTAAAATTGATTCCCTTTCCTTCAAGAACTACTGTGTAAATTATACATATATAATTTGTATTTGTGTATAGGCATTATTTAGATGGTACTATCACTTCATGGGCTAGCTAGTTGTCGTATCTTTATACACATATATATACACAAAATGTTTGATCAGGTCGTTTTTTTTTCAGTGGACAGATTTGTGACATGAGGAAGGGTGACGTTGAATTAGCAGGAAGCTGCCGAAATCCCTATTTATAATCGTGTGCTATTTCAGTCATAGTCGAATGCTAAATCATTAAATTTACGCTCATTGCTGTAAGAGCCAGCAAGGCTTCTCTGCGAGGTAACGAGTTAGGTACGGCACGCAATGGAGTCTTCTTGTTGCTTGCCTATAGGAATGCACGTGTAGTTTCCTTGTGGGAATCGCGTCAACGTTAACAGCTATCCGCGCCTTCTTTGTTCGGGCGCTATAGTTAGTACGTTCGGCAGTTCTTGAATTGCAGTTAACCTTAAGGGATGATTTCTGGAATCGCATGTGACAACACTGACTATAGGACCTCGGCACGAGTACAATTAGCTGACAACTTTTCATCGTCTCCTTTCACTTTGCCGGCGAGTCTATCCACACATTCGAAATTAATAATGTTGCCCTCATCAACCCGCCAAATCAGCGATTCGCTCAAGACAACGTTGACTTTTGTAGTTTGTTTGCCAATGTTCATTCACTCACGTTTTACAAGTTCGGAACTTCGAGCTGGACTATAGTCGACCCCTTTGTAGTCAGCACGTAATTGTTGCAAAGCATCATGTGCTTCCTTAAGTTTTTGCTGAACCGTTATTCGAGCCTTGCGCTCTTGATCGAGTTCTTGGTAAAATGCATCTGAAAGTAGAAACGAAGTGAAAAGGGCTTATAATTTACTAACCTAACTTCCCTTTTTCCTGTCAATAAATCCCTAGAAATGGATCGACTCCGAGCTTATTCCGCCGAAACTAACCTCGCACAAGTTGCAATTGGCTAGCAAGTTCCTCGCGATATTCGGCCTCTTTACGCATCTGTGCCTGGAGCGACTCACGCACGTTGCCGAACTCCCGTTCGGCTCGTCGACGACGTTCAGCTTCTCGACGCACCGCGTCGCGAAGCTCCTCTGAAGCAAACATAGCAAATTTAGCATGCTAGTACTAATAATTTGCTTCTCTGATAGCGTCCTGTCGCTAAATAAAGTATTAGCACTGAAAATATTCGAATGAATTTTATTTATTGCTGAAGAACATAATGAAGCTATATTAATAACTTTCTTCATACAGTTATTATAAAAATAAAACTAAATAAATTATTAATCTTATCATATTGTAATTATAGTATATATATATATATATATATATATATATATATATCACTCCTGTAAAAAAATAATCTTGCTTCTACAACTTTTTTTGGAAATGTTTCGATTTTAATTTAGTTTTTTTTTATTTTTTAATTTTAATAAAGTATTTAAATGCAAAAAAAATTTTTTAGAAAAATACACTTGTTCATACGAAAATTAGAAAAGCTCCTAGGCAGTTTTACCCTTTGTCATATGATACAATTGTTTTGGACTCGTTGGCCCATCTGAGGTTTCGTCCCTGTTATTCTTCAGCTCATCGAAGCCTAAAGGGGTGTTCTTCTGAAATATGATAACGTCAAAATTCATTAGAACCCGTATAATAACCATGACGTGCTATAACGCGAACTTTATTGATGTCACTGCTCATCCAACTGCTTATATAAGCAGGTACGTCCCGTTAATTAAAATAGTATATCTGGTATGATTTCCCCCTTAAGCTTGTTATATTCTCAGATGCTTGTCTTCATAGCTCACAGTCGGTCCGTATTGCCACTGCTATGACGATTTATTCAACAGAACACTATTCGTTCGCTCCCGCGCTGTCTTCATACTGTTCTCACTCTCCCGATACATCTACCACAATTTTTTGCTTTTCACGCTTCTCGCCTTTATTGTAATGATCTTCCTTGTACGTTTAGCGGTCCTCTGTTCTCTTAGCCGCGTGCTGAGTCTGTTCCCGCGCTTCGTTACTCGCCTATCTTATTTGGCCACAAAGGCATACCACCAGCATTAGTCGGTCGTTCTAGTTGTTACCAGCTCCGCTGTCGCTGTCCGTGAGTGTCAACACGCAGTCGAGTTGTCGCGCACTCCCCTTCTGACGCGATACTTGTTTCGCATTGTCACTGAGTATCGTTCTTTCTCCTGTCTTCCTGCCTGCCCGTCTGCCAAACCAAAAATTCGAATCGGCACGATTCAAGTGCTGAGAAAAGCTAACACTTGCTTGTGATCGAATAGGTAGGGACTGAGGTCCTGTTGGCTGTTATCGAAAAAGTTCCAGCTAGACACGCAGGAAGCTGAGAGGAAAGCTGGCGATAGCTAATGACAGCGGCGACGACAGCATGAAAGCCAGAGAGGGAACGAGGACTTCGAAGGAGTTTCAATTTGATTCGAAATTCGTTCTCGACTCCCCGAAAATCGCTCGTTGCCCCGGCGTCTGTGGCCATGTCGCTGACTGGATAGGTGGATGGATGGATGTCGATGTCAATGTATACGTACACATAATGCATACATATAGACATGTACACTCTTGTGTACTACTCTTGACTGTCTCTTGGGACTCTCCCGTAAGGAGAAAGGGCGCGAAGGATCTCATTTTAGGCTGTCCCGAATCACTATCCGCTCTAGCCACTAATCACTATGGCTAGCGACACTATCGTCGAAGAGCCAAGATAGCCAGGCGTGGTGAGCGCTCCGGGCCGCGTGTGTTGGCTCTATTGCGGCTGCGAGGTGACACCGACAGCAGCGCCGACTAGTGTAAACATTTTTCCGCTGGCTTCGAAGACGACGGGACTTGCTCTGGCTGAGAAAGCTGCGGAGACTACCCGGTTCAGGACGAGGTCGAAATTTCTCTTTTTGCTTCTCGATATCCTGTTTTCGCTAGGCGCAGATGGTCGTAGCAGAGGATCGGCGGACCAGCGAAGCTACACTTCATAGCAATAGATTCGCACGGCGGCTTCTAAGCGTAGCAACGTTGTATGCATACATACGACAAATTCGAATTCGTCAGCGAACGGATCGGACTCCCAAAGGGCGAAAAAAAAGACGACGGCGTTAACGAAACGAGCCGGGACGCAAAGAAGACAGAAAGAGGTCGAAGCTCGATGGATGATTGGAAAGTGAAGTTTTTTGTTACGAATGGCGGCAATGTCGCTCTTCGTTTGCTGTCAACGTAGGCTTTTTTCTCGCATGGACGTCGCACGCACGGGTGTTGTTGTCGAACTAAGCCAACAGATAGTAGTGGGGTATTCGCACGGTATTTGTACGCGAAACATAATTTAGAGTTGAATGATGGTGGATAGTATCTGAAGGGCTAGGCACTAATAGAGCGATAAAGGGGTGCGAGCGTCGGTCTGTACACGGCAGTGCGAATGCGTATTTGTGTGAACGAGGAAATAATGATTGCAAGTGTAAACCAGCGTGCGGCTAGATCGGCAAAAGTTGGATCAGAGGGTTGGCGGATATTACGGCGTGAACCGACGCGCGTTCAGGCATTCCCACTGGTTTGAATGAATATGGGTGCTGGGAGTAGAAAAAATACCTTAACACGGGCGCACTGATAGCAGCATTGAAAAGATCTTGTGATTTGCGCCTCCATTTGAAGTTTAGTTGAACGAATTGAGCAGATGCGAAAATTGAAATTCGGTAGGGCGGTGCGCGCTGCTATGCGACATATAATATTTATTAATTTGATGGATTTTATTCTACGCGCGTACCTGCTAAGGAACACGCCAGGCGATAAATTATTAGTACGTTCCGTACGCGCCCTTCCGAGCGTACAAAGAAACATCCCGCCGGTAATTAACTCAGGTATCAAGCATATTACGCGCTCGTTAGAAATAATCAAGTCATAAACATTTATTAGTATAATAACTATTACATTACCAGCTGTGATATTTACTTGTATTCATATGTTTAATTGCGCAAACATAAACTTTATATACATACGCATATAAGGCTCTCGCCTTTATACGCTCGCGTGTTCCACGTTGCTCAAGCTGTCTTATCGAATTTTTAACTTAAAATAATTTCTCATCGATCGATCGAGCCTTAGACCAAACGAAACAGGCACTCTTCAATACGTCGAATAGCTGTAAACATCATGTCTGACCAGTTTCTCAGTCATCTAAGCAGTTGCGTAGTAGCTTTCTGAGGCTCTTAGTCCAATTGCAAACGAAGTCTTCAGATAGTCTTCGGCAGACAGAGTTCAATAAAGAGAATCGGCCGTGTTGACAGTCTAAGCGGCACTCGGCCACTGCTGGGGTCCTTAAGTACGTCGTCTCCGTCATCGTAATGAATTTTGCTACTAGTGTTGAGTACAGGATACAGAGCACGACTTTGATTAAGCTCGTGGTTGCGGCGGCCCTGGAGGGACCGACGAACGAAGGGTTATCCTTTCGAAAGTAGTATGTATTTAAATGTTGGCCTGGCTTTGTCCGAATTAAACTGACTTCCAGCTGAACGAACCCGTTCAACAACTCTTGAATGTCGTATTATCTATAGTTCGAAGCTCACGACCGGACGACGAGGACCTAATGCGTGCGCTCACACTCTCAGTGACGAACAACGCTGCCTGATCGCGCAAGAGAGCTAGTGTCTTTTGTCTTGCCCCCTAAACCATCATACCGAATATCCCCGAAAGCTCCTGTGTTCAGTCTGTAATTATAATACAAAGGTTATTCGAACAATTGTTTCTTCAAACGCCAGTGGTAATGTATTGTCAAACGGCTCATACAGCTCCTGTAGCTTTTCCGTCTTAGCAGACGATATCTTGAAGCTGTAAGCCGCGACACCGCATCCCTGAACAAGCAGCTTTTTCATTCACTTCGCAAGTAGTTTAAGCGTAACCTAAACGCCGTAGTCCATTCTATCTCACCCGCTCCCTCTCATCGCCTGTGATGTCCGACAGCGGAGACGTATGAGTCCGACGTATGAAGATGTAATTACAAACAGTGAACTAATAGTTTTTGTAAAACTCTTTGTATTTAGTATGACAATCGTCAGTTGAAATGGCCAACAGTTATTTAAATGCAACTACGCAGTCTGCGTGATAATATTACAAAAGCAATTTGGTAGCAACGTAAACAATAAATCACTTACAGCAGGCAACCATTTTTATCCGGCAAAAACGTATATTTGCTTTGTACACGGCAACCTAGTGTCGTCATCTACAACAACAAAAAAGTATTTAATAGACAATTCGTCCGAAAAAACTTTATATCTTTTTTCAAACTGCACATATACTAACCTCGCATACGTGTACAGACAGCTATTCTGAGCCTGTAAGCCCATTGCGCTCACATGAAGTACTCGATGTGGTCTCTGTATTATTGAATTACCTTGAAACGCGCTTCTGTAATCGTTGTAGTTGTCGTCGCGGTGACTAATGAGGTTGTTGTATTGCCGCTGTCGGGAGGTTGCGATTTTAATGGAGGCGTTTCTTCGCCCACTTCAACATCCTCATCGTTGTCATCAATTTCTTTTACACCATGATGATGTCGATGATCTCTGCTGTCACCCGCTCTAGCTCCTTCGACGCTGTCGTGGTTATCGGCGGCCGCTACAAATCCCCGTGGTCTGGGGTCGCTCAGGTCCGGCCCCTCCATTCCGTCGACGTCTAATTCGTCTGCATCGTCATCAAGATCCTTCCCATCGTCGACATCGTCACGTTCCTCTGATTCGTCTTCCCTGGCGCCGCCGCCGCCGCCGCCGCCGCCGCCATGCCCCGTAGGACTACGTGCTGTGGTCGTATCACACGGCGGACTACTACTAGCTAGACTGCGACATGACCACATAAACACATTGAGCGGAGAGTCAGAGGAAGCATAGGGAAAATCCATTTTTACCTTACTCCGTAGAGAAATGCCCGAAGAAGTATATAATAAGCGCAAACGGTTCCTACTCTAAATAAAGTAAAAGCACTCTTCCGAGGGTCTAAGGCTGCATTGTGATCGCTAAAGGCTCACTAATGATAATCAAGGGCCGAGCAACAAAGAACAGCTATTAATTTATGATTGTGGTACTTTTGAAAAATGACCACAACAGATCGGCTATCAATAGGTCAAGTCAACTTGAGTTCTTACTGTTAGCTCATTGTGCAATTGCGATTGGTCAGCATATGTATATATACATATATATAAAAGTCAGAACATTTAATTAAAACAAAAAGTAGCCTAAGCATTAGAGATAGAGAAACGTATGAGTTTAGTGAGTACTGCTGCAATTCGAAAATGGTGGCTAAAATCTCGTCATATACATACATACATACACATGAAGAAGTTCGTAAACAAAATTTACACATTGAAGAAGTGCCCTTCAACTTATTACCCGTAGAACCGGCACTCTTTGGTTTGAAAGTATGCCTATGGCTAGAAGGGCGATCCATGTTCTTCGCCCGTAGGCACATCAAAGTAATATGCCCATAAGCACCCCGCTAGCTGAGCTGACGTCCACCCGCATTAGCACGAGCCAAATGGGCGACACCGCATCCGCCGAAGAGTGAGGTAGCGACTTGTTGTTGGTTGAGTACACAGACCGCGCAAAGGCCATTTCCCCTTTGCCTTCTCTCTACACTGATCGAGGGTGATTTAGTCGACATCGACGATACGTTCATGGTCACAGGCGCTGCAAAATTTCCGAGTGCAAAAGCTTACCTATCACCTTGTCAAACTGTATACTGCGCATTTACGAACATATGTGGACACTTTGCTAGATGACAGGCCTGCATCGCGGCCAAAACACACTACTCACCGCGCGTGGAGAAAAGTTATGGGCCTATAAGGCTCGCTGTTGCCACTGTTGTTGTTGTCGCTGTTGATGGTGGTGGACTGGCAGCGATTACCTTATCACTAGATAAGCAGCTAACTATAGCGATGTTATCACAGATAGAATAATAATTAACCAAAACGAATAAACTATTGGTTGAGGACCTGGGCTCGTCGAGTTTTCTATCTGCTAGTGGCTTCGGGTCTTTCTAGTGTGTGTACGTATATATGGTCAAAATGCAGCTGCCGTATAATAATATAGCCCACTCGCACAGTTGATGATTAACGTGTTGTGATTCTAGGTACATTATCAGGTTATAGTTTCGGCGTCATTATGATGGTGATGACGGTGATTATCATGTTGGTACGCGGAACAGGAACATGAGCATGCAGCAAACAAAAACCTATGATCCGATCCGACGATGACCAATGACTCGACGAGCAGCTATGTACAAGTACACGTACGTGCTGTTACAAGTAAGGATTTATCGGCAACCATCACCTCCTTACCCGCCCCATGAGTAGAAAAAGCGTTCTTACAAATGTAAATCGTTAAGCTTACAACAGTAACATAGGGCCTTCGGCTTAGCGCGTCAACGCACTACTGAATTTTGCAATTTATATATTAATCCTATATGGTGTAGATATTAATACGATGATTAGATATGGTCAGCGTGCAGAGTATTTGTTGCGGGCAGGTATGTTGATATTCAGTAAAGGTAAAAGTACTGAGACAGAATACTTTGACAGATTGTCGAAATTTTATTTCGTTATTGCAGGCATAGATTGGTTTGCCTTTGCAGACGATGAAGTTTCGTTGTGTGAGCTTGTTTTTGTATGATGGCTCTAGGTACTACGGTGCCAAACAGGACCCCCCACTCGCTGTTTTCTTACGGAACACAACAGCTCATTAGTCACAATCAGTTTGGGTCGAAAGGGGTACAAAGCTCTCATCAAATCATTTCGATACTTGAATTGGCAGTACTACTCTTTGCTCCTTTGAGCTAGTCCGAAAACACCGAACCCAAAAATCAGTTTACAAAACTTTGTCCACTCACAATTAAGACGGCTGTATCTTATACAGAATACCGTCAGATTGAATTTAATAAGTCTATGAAAGATTAACGGAACAAAACCAGCAAATAATGACAAGAAGCTATAATGCCTGCGCGGTAGTAATGATGTGGTCATACACATTCCTTCACGCACATCTATAACAGCATCTCTTATCTAGATACAACTCCCAATTGCCATCGGTAGAGTTACTGTCTCTCGATAATATCTGCGAATCTCGGCATCTCTTTGCCAGGCCGAATGGCCTGTATGTCCAAATACATTCTATCAACCCATGTCCATATCCCATCGTCGTTACCCGTTGCGTTAGACTCTTAAGTCGTGCAGGCATACCATTGTATGGATCATTTGGTATTCTGTTCAGGATGCTGTTTAGCTACCGCATTTGAGCAGTAGATGGCTAAGTGGGTGCTCGCGTCCCTTTGGTAGTTTCCCACCCTTCAATTGGTGTTGCCGCTTACCTCATTAACTGGGCTGAGTCGCTACTCGAAGGACCACAGTACCACGTTCGCTCCTGTGCGTATATCTATTGTAGACAACATATACACCGAGCCAAGCATACTTTTAGCAGAAAACAATTTCGAGTCTTGAGAATCTGTAAATATTTTCCTTTGTGTTATGCCAACATCTTGTAGTATTTTAAAGAACATCGGTTAGCAGGGAATCGATGTATTCTGAGACTAATCGGAAGGAAGACGCAGTTTTTGATGGGTCGTAACCGCGTCTGGCGGAGGTAACCGACGACTATTTCATTGGATGTAATTTTCACAGCAGCTAGTACTCAATAAAGTACCAGTCGAATTATTGGCAATCGTCGTAATCCATAATCACTGTGCAAAAAAAAGAACCTAAAATAGGTACATACGGGCGCTAGCTAAATGTAGCGAATTTATCTAATGCGCTTCGATGGCATGAAGTAAAGGTAGGTATGTGACGCAACTCTTTTCGCTATTCCTTGTCACCGTGAAGGTTGGCACCAAAAAATAATTCAGTGATGTGCATTTTCTGCATACTTAACGCAGTACGATTTCGAATTTACTGCACGCCGTTTTGACGTGCAACAGCGCGATCAACCGTAGAAAATGCGTAATTGCTATGTACAGGATATGTCCATGTCGTGTTGTACCTCTCTTCTGATACTCTGTGAATAACAAGCACGTGTCGCTCGTTCGCCGCCTATAAAGACACTAACAACCAATTCCTATTTCACGCCATATCCAGCAGTGTTTGCTAGTTAAGACACGCATCATCTATGGTGCGAACATCTTTAATTTTGATAAGTACGAAGCCAGCGGAAGTGCTTTGTGTGCTTGTTCGATACCGATAAAAATGGGATTACCTAAACAGAGCATCGACCCAAGTGGAGCAATAGAAGTAACTGTAGTGGGTTGGCGATACATAGTCAGTACGATTGATCGTTCAGTCCACAACGGCTTCGCACGCGCGGGCCTCAATTCGTTGTGCAGGACCCCCCGCCGTAGCCGTCGATGAGCGCACAACAAGCCACATACATATACCTACACACACACACACACATACGTACAAAAATAGACAGAGCGCACTTTTTTGCTCTATTGCCTCAATATCATCGACAGTCAAATACCTGGCAACTTGTTAACGTGGACAAGACAATGCTTGAGGAATACGCTGTTGTTCCGAGGCCTTTAGGCGCACCGAGAGACCAGCGTAGCTTCACGTCTATATTATGAGATAAAATGAAAAAGCAGAGAGCCATAGAAGCGCAATGTTTTGCTATTGTGTATTTCAGTCGCAATGCTAGTTGCATTGTGATAACAAAACGCCCTGTTTGTGTGCCGATACGACACGGAGCGATACGTTTAGGACGTGACTATATGTGTATGCGCATAGGTCCTAAACGAGTTCGTTACTGACTATTGCTCGTGACTATCAATCAAATAAGTTCACACAATTAACTTCGTGCTTTTCATTGCTAAACAACATTGACGGCACAGCCACAGACCGCATCCATTGCTTAAGCGCTTCGCTGATGCCATACAACTTGATACACATTCTGCACAATGCATGGACTTGAATGGCTATCCTTGCCATTTAAATAAATAAATAAACACTCAAAGGTATATCAAACCGGCTTTCGTAAGGGCTAGTAAACATTATCGAACACCGTCAATCAATGCGGGCAAAATATATGCGAGTTGAACAAGTTTCCAAGCAATATTAGGGGAAACAACAGGTAACCCTTTTTGTATTTTTCTTCAAACGGCACAACTTCGAAGAACTTCAAGCTTTTCAAGTGGTATTTATCTATAGATAAATATCTCCGAGTTGAACTGACAGTAGGCTATCTCCAAATGAAGTTACTCTTACCTTCAGCCAATATATTAAATACTTCACATTTATTTTTTGTGACAGGTACATTGTAAGGCAAGATCAGCATTTTATCCCGTAAGTCTATCGACATATATTGTTCAAAAAGGCTTTTGAATAGTAATGCGTGTTTTTTTCCACGCAACTTTACAAATTTCTTATATTGAACGACACAAAAAGGGTGCCCGGGATATCTTTTGAAATATCATAGCGATAGGGTAATCCATTCGATTAACAATTGTTTGCAGTAATATAATATAATATAATACTATATACTAATAATAATAAATAAATTTAAAAAAATAAATTAATCTAAAAAATAACAAACCTTAGCAAGGCACTAAGAAACGTCCACTGCTATTTTTAACTCCTTTGATACCTAGGGCAAGAAGGTTGACCTCGGTAACATCGACAATGTGTTTTTTTAATGTTTTTCGTAAATTAAGAAAATAGCACAAAATGTAATTATCGTATGTCATGCCCTATATACCTATGTATACTGGAAAACAACATAATTATTGATTCCTAACTTATGAAGATCCACTTCGGGGTTGATTAAAAGTCTTCTACCAAGTACCTCTTCAATCAAATTTATCAAAGCGATTAGGTGATTGATGAGATAAAGGGTATGCAATGCCACAATTGGCACACTAATGGCTTCATGGTGAAAACTGATATTTATAGAACATGTCATTTTTTTTTTACAAAAGACTTGACTTCAGCACACGAAATTTAACTGTAACACATTATTAAATTTATCGCCAGATGATATAATTAAAAAATCAGCGGAATATGCCCGACGCCATCTTTAAAGGCTTAGGTAAAAGTTTATGATGAAGAACACAGAGTTATCAGCGTTGTTGGGACAATGACTTCTCAGGCAGAAATTGATTTAGTAGAGCTAAAATAATACGAGTTCGGCGATAAAATTTAGCGAAGGTACTTGAAGCGCATGAGAATCGTAGAACGGAATAAGATCGGTTTATGTAATGAAGCTTCTAAGAAAATCGGAGTAGGTCTATTCACATCTGCAGCTCGTCTTTGTTTGTCGCTCCGAGGCCTGCGAAAGCCGAGGCTTGCCCAGAACAGTGCCTATCGTTCTATGCATAAGGAAACTGCCCTTGTTTGATGTGGGACTAAAAACGTTCCGGGTATATCCCATTAGATACCGATCCCAGCATTATCTATCTTAAAAACCTTGTACTTAGGCACAAAATAAAGTTATTCTTTTATCAGCTTCTACACAGACCATAATATGAAATCATTCATTTATTATAGCATTAGCTTAGTTCATGAGTGACACTGGCTGATCTATCCAAAAAGAATCGATAACATAACAGTGCGTAATCAACGACTTTATCATATGGTTAGGGTCAATTAAGTAGCTTCAACTGACCGACTGAATTTACAGGATATACATATCGGTATGTTTTTAAAGAAATAAGAACCTGGGCGGCGAATGGCGGGCGTTCGAGCATGGTGGGGGCCCTGTAACCGGTTTGAATGCGGATGGATACATCGTTGATGGGGGTGAAGCCGAGGGTGAATCGGATGACGGTAGACTCAAACCTCCGGCATTTCCCAGAGACACCGCGCAGTTTACCGATGATGCCAATGGCGGACTCCATAAGGGGAACTGACGCATCAGCATGTAGTCCGCAAAAGGATTTAGTCCGACGGCAGTGTTACCCGGCGTTGTCTTTGTCGGTGAACCGCCTGAAGCGAAATGAAGTACAATTAGCTGCTTAAATTGAAGACTGAAGCAAAAAACCCTATTTTGTTCTAGCATAGACAGTTAACTTTCGCAATAGAAGATATCCTTTGCTTATAAAACACACTGTGAATACATTGTGGGTTGTACGAAGGATATCGTTGAGTTTGTGCTGGAGTATAATGTTTATCAATAAATAAGTCATTCATAAAACATCTACCTGGAAGACAGAACAAAGGCGGTACTGGGGGCACAGGAAACGGCGCCTCATGATCTCCCGTTGTTGGTGGACTGAGGTTAAGCGAAGTGATCATCGACGCAAAGTAGCCCCCTGGGCCCACCTTGGCTCCAAGACCGCCTAAACCTCCGCCGACGCCTATCTAATTTTCAAGAGATGTGAACGAAGAGAAACGAAAGCTATTGACAGTGGACTATTTAACAAACCAAAAAAGTATCTCACCGTGTAGCGTATGTAAAAAAGTAAAGCTTTCTATGCATTAGTGGGGTAAACACGCGACGTTGTCGCTTTAAGCTATCCCCTGTTACCTTTTACCTTTTCTTATGATAATTGTCTATCTTACACATTTGCGCATACCTGTCCAAGAGGCAATGGGCTAAGAGCTGGGTAGTCGGCCGCCACTGCTGTCGTAGTCGATGCCTTGGCCTTTTTGGCGGCTGGAGGTGCCCCTGCAGAACCTCCACCTCCTGGGCCGTTTTGTGACCCACTCGAAGAGGACGGCGCAGCCGAGGATGACGAAGAGACAATCACTCGCTTGCGGCTTCCCCCATTAAACATCGCTTTCACGTCCTGTGAAAAACATATGAAACGAAAGATGACTATAGGAATAACCGTACAGAATACGTCGAATAAATTTCGACTGGTGTGTATGATAGATGTGGACTTTCTTGTGGTTTCTTGGCGCCCTATCTTACTGAAGGAGTTCTGTTCGTTTTCATTGCACTATATGTCCGTGGCCTAGATCAGCGCCCCACTTATCACAGCAGACTGTAGCCTGTGGTAGGTAAAAAAAAAACCTATCAATATTATCGGCTAAAAGGGGGCGCTGGTAAACACTGAAAATCTTAATTTGAAAGTGACGTCCCTGTTGTTCAAGAAGACATCACTTTAAAGCTTTTCTTCTAGAGGTGTGGTGAATAGTTTCGTGCAATACATAACTGAACGATAAGCAAGGCTTTACGGTATAGATAAAATACACTAGCTATAGGGGAATAACTGCAAAAATGTCTGCTGTAACTGCATAGTTTGGATGATTTTGAGAAAGTCATGTAATACTGTTAGATTGCACAGATGTCTAACGACTATCGTTAGTTATGACACTCACTTCCCAGGCGTAGAGGACATCTTCTGGCGGATTTCCGGCTAGTCTTATGTGGCGGCGCCACGAATTAAAATTGGCCGCATCCGGTTGGACGTACTTAGAGTCGGGTAGACGATGTGAGTGGAAGATAAATTTATTAGGCGAGAAGAACAACCCGCACAGGGCACACTTGATACACTTGGCGCGCGACGAATTATATCTGAAAGCCATAAGTTTTTTTCGTCCTAAATATAATAGATGCCTGGCTTTGTGGGACCCATTCAGTAGGCTGCTCCTCAATTCAACAAGGTTAATAAGTATGTGTATAAATCTGGGACAGAAGCCAGTTGTTAAGGTTCGTTATGGCATCGCAAAGAATATTGATATCTCATAGCATACCTAGTAAATAACTGCCGAATTGGGTTTTACGTCTGGCACGGGCGTTAAGCATTGCCTCAGATAGCTGGCCTCTCCCAGCACGAAACAAAGTTTTACTACGGCCGGCTTCGAACCTACGCCGCCTCATGTGTCCCTAAGTTCGGCAGGCAGGCGCCTTAGCAGTGCGCCATAATGGGGGCATCCTATAGCATACCTGGAGGGCACGAACGAGCCTCGACAGCCCCAGGCACAGGCGTGCACGACATCGAACGAGAAGTTGTCCGGCAGCTTTGGAGGAGTCGACTCCGTCAGGAAGCTCTTGCACAGCCGCTCGGCCTCGCGTTTCGTTATCATGCCGCATCTGTCAAATAAAATTAATTAGACTTATCTTTAAAACGCTTTGTGGCTGCATTATCTATATTGGTTATGCTTTTTCACCATTAGCCTTACGAGTGCCGGGTTAGGTCTTCGTCCTGATGCCGACAAAATCTTCGAAGGTTATTGCTAGTTTCTACGCCAGTTCGAGGCCACTTTCTTTCATCCTCAAGAGGCGAGTCGCATTGTGTCATAAGATTCGAACTAATTTTCTCTCTTCTGCTAAGCGATACAAGTCACCGTTTCGATGGTGAGGCTCAAAAAGCCTTAAGAAAATAGGACCTACGAAGGGTATCGCGCGAACATGTTTCTCTTTACTGGTACATAATGGAAGAAGTCCCCAAAAATTATGGTACATGAAAGACAACAGTTTTTCAAGGATTTGTTTTCTAGTTAGAATTAACGACGTTTTTCGAAATGTTACCTTCTGGAGGAGACCGGCATGGCTCCAGCCCTTCGAAGCAACTCGAGCTGCACGGGCGTGCACTGAACGCACGTAATGCCAAGAGCCACTCGTCGGTTGTGAATTTCGTTATACGAGAAGTCCTAAACGTAAAATCGAATTTCATGCAGTCAATAAATGTACACTAGTTTTTAAGAGATGAGGCATTTACCGTTGTGTTATATGAAAGAGAAATCGTTAAAAAATAGATGGTCTCTTTGAAGTGATTCTGTGAAATAGGTTCAAAAACCGTACTAAAATGAAACTAGTTTTGCTATTTTTATCTTTGTAAATTTCCAAAGTGTATAATCTTTAAGAGCTTCAACAAGACATTTTCTAATCACCAAATTCATATGGGTATATAAACAAATCATTGGAATCGCAGCCACTGCATAATTAGCTCTGTTGCAAGTACTTGCTCAAGTGAAAATGCAAGAATTGTTGATAAACTGAAAGAAAATTCGTTCTATATATATATATATATATATTTAGCTCGAGTGTAATTTTGTCCACTTAAAATGACGGTAAGATCAACCCGAATATCATCCTAGTTAAACGGAAAATATGACTAGCTGAACTAGCGTCTCGTATCCATGACCAGTCAACGCCTGCCTAAAAATAAGGTAGTCGTTAGTATTTACCTTGAGAAGTGTGTTCGAAATCTGGGCCAGTGAGAGGCGTTCCTGGCTGTCGATGAGCAGCGCAACGATGGGCACCCCAAACAGGACCACTGTGCGAACTTCTGATGGATGACCTTTGCTCACCGAGCCGATAGAATTAGATGATCGATTTGAATATTTTGATATCATAAAAATTCACCTACACTTATCGATTAACATGTTTCCAGCCACTTTACGAAAAAGTTGATAATCCAGAATGGAACTTTGCTTAACTTATCTGTTTCAGTATCATTAAATGTCTATGAGCGTTTATCTGCTCGCTGATTTGTTCGCTTGGGCTATAAGTCGGGCCGGGCTGATGGAGCCGATCGAATGAGCATAATTTGGGCAGATAGATCGTTGCTGTGGAACTACTACGTAAATTTTCAGACCTTGAAAAGTCGTCCGTCTTTTCAAACTCTACAAAATGGATGCAAAGTTAGCTTTAGAATAACTTTTACAGTTTGTACGTTTCCGCACTCTAAGTGCTGAGCTGGTGGCTTTTGCCCAAATAATTCACAATTGATCAGTTCACTATTCCAAATATATGAGCAGTTTCTTTCCTTTACAGGAAAACGTGATGAAATTTCAGAAAGGTAATAGGTACGCTATATTTCGGCGGATTCTCTTATCAACTTTTTTTTTACATACAAATAACATCAGTCGAACGTATAAATGGAGGTCTACGTAGAAAGGGTCATGCTTGGTACCAGTCAGAAATCTTACGACTAGCTGACTCTAAGTGTTATACACGTTTCTCTATCGAAATATAACTGCAGTAAAGATATTCTCCAGTGACAAGTTGAGTACCGTTCAACGATCAGCGTGGTGGCGCCTTTTCTAGAAACTGATTTTCTGCTATCGATCGATCGATCGATCGATCGATCGATGGATCGATCTTGATGAACTGGCCAATGATGAAATATATTTGTTTATGCTCACGATCAGTGTTCCGGCGCGAAATCAAATGAAGTGGCTGTCATTTTTATGTGACAATCGATTAAAAAACCCAGAGAATTTTCGGAGCCTTCGTTTTTACGAGTGCCAATTTTGGAAATCGACTAGGCGGAACATTTTAATAAAGTAAAATTTTGCAAAATTATTTGTCTGACAGAATACCAAAAGCTTTTTTCTACGGTTACCGCCAATTCTTCACACCACTTGATGGTTTCGATGCATATTCCGGCGCAAAACAGGCTAAAAGATAAATGCAACAGGTATTTTTTTCTCTCGCAAAAAACCTCAAATGCTCTCGATGAATCAATACATGTTCATGTACCTGAACTTCAGTTTTCTTCTAAAAACTTGACATTGTGACATTCGGTGTGAGAGTCTTTTGGCGCCAACTGATGGATCTTGACAGACTGAATACAAATTGTTCTATCTAAAATAAGTATTTTTCAGCGAAAACGAACTATTGCTTTATCCAAGCAAGGGGGCGGTGAAAATGCATTCTGACTTGCAAATTTTTAATAAGTGTCAACTGAAGGGTTTGTCGAAAAGGCTAGTTCGGGTGGGGGGCGCCTTTCGAAAGCAAAACGCCAAGATGATGTCAAAAAATCACCTACTACTGTCAAAAGAGCATTAAACAAAAATCGTTATGTCTTGGTGACGGTATTTAGTATATTTATTATTCAATCCCGTAAATGTAATTATTTATTAGGAAAAAAAATTATTTAGCTCTGCTGTTGTCTTAGGAACAGGCCTAAAATCTATTACATCTCCGTTTTGCTAGAGAAAACCCGTTGTTCCATCACGGACAAGGCTTATCCAGTACTGGTTGAAACCTTTACCCTTTACCAGAACCGGACGGATCATATAATTACTGATAATTGTCAATTCGTCATCCTTAGGTTCAGTCAAACAACTTAAATGAACGGTAAAGCAACACTATTATCTCTTTACATTAATTACAATAGACACATTAATTAACACAGTGATGTATATTAATGTAATTATAGCTAATTTGAGCTGCACATGTGAACTAATTATCGTCCTTATAATGATTGTGTACGAGCAATTCGGTACGCTTGATACTATTGGCTTACATTTTAGCACTGGATAACAAAGGGCGGGTAAAGTGAGCCGTATCTTGGCAGATTCTTGTGAGGAAACAAAATTTATCAAGTGGGCAACAGTTGATGTAGCTATAAAGTACTAAGGAAAAATTTACTACTCGTTGTAGCAAATACGACCTGTTTGCCTTCATTAGACATGATGCCGTTTAGAGTTCTAATGACCAACGAGAACAATGGATAAACTACATCCCTATAAAACCTAGGACCTTCAGAAAATTACTGATGATCGTTTTCTACGCTTTATTCTTCGATCCGTATGCAAGATAGCGTACGTTTGAGAAAATCAAACGCGTAGTGTATAATGGCGAACAGACTAACAATGGTTTGAAAATTGATTTTTGCTAGATCACAATAAAAGTACTGTTGCCCGTAGTTTGGTAGGTGCGTTGTAAGGGTGAGCTCTTTCGACAACATATTGTTTCTGCCACGTATGACCCTATATTCTTATATTGACATTACACATAGGTTGACGTTTACCGGAAGTGGCAGCGTTGTTAGTGCCATTGTTGCTGGAGTTGTTGTTGTTGTTGTTGTTGTTGTTGTGGACATTGGCGCTGTTGTTGTTACTGGTGTTGTGCTGTTGTTGCTGCGATTGTTGTTGTGTAGAGGAGGAGGACGTTTCTGCAGTGAGTGCTGGACCGGGCGAAGGACACTCGAGCTTTCGACCCCACAGAAATAATCCTCCGGTTGGCTCACCTCCGTCGGAGGACAGCGGACTCGGGCTCTGTAGACACTGAAATGGGCAAACCGGGAACAAAAATTGAATCTGATTTTAACGTCTTCGTAATAATAATTTGATGTTATATATATATATATATGCATATATATAAACATGAGAAAAAAAGAGTTCGTCAAGTTTTCCAGATCGCATAAAGAATTTTTACTACTATACAATACACGATTAATATCCGTAAAGAAAATCACAAAAAAACATATTTATACACCGTTTCCTACCGATTTGTAGCGATAAAAATGAATTAGTATAAGCTCAATTGCCGCATGAATGTCCCCGTAGATTTTCTAATTCTTTCCTCAGGTGAAACCAGTTTGAAAAATATGCAAGTAAAGCTGAAACTGTATAGCCGGTAATTCCTATCATTGCATGTCGTTGCTACGTTTGTTTCTCCGCGTCTCGCTTACCCAACCAGCCAGTCAGTTCGCCAGCTTGTCACCGCCTTCAGTTTTGTGGCTTTAGAGTCTTCGATCAGCCTGCTCCAATCGCCCTCTTTGCCCAAAGCACCAAAGGTTCCCCTCCGTATAAAGTCTTTACCCCAGCCTGCGTTTTCCCTCTTATAGTAGTTTCCTTTTTCTATGGTACCGCTGGTAGTGTCTCCGGTGCGCTTCGGTAGCGTTCATTTCAGCTTTGCCATGATCGCTTAGCACCACTAATCTGCTTATAGCCACCCGTAAGTCCCCGCTGTTTTCTTGGGGGGGGGGGGGGGGGGGAAAGCCCGGCGGACACCCCCCCCCCCCCCCCCCTCAACAGCATGCACACCACACAGCATCAAAGCTTTACCACTTTCTCTCTCGCTCTCTTCCACCCCCCCTCTCTCTCTCTCTCTCTCTCTGTCGCATCCGTTCGACCCCTCTCCACGCGAACCGCTGAACAGGAAGCGAAAAAGAACGAGGCCTTCAAGAATAAAGAGACTCGTTTTCAGGAAGGTTTGCTTCGAGTACGCAGGTAGCAAACACTCACTAAAGCAGCAGGGTAATAGCGCAGCCTAACCCGATACGGGAGACATCTCCGTCGGCGATAGATTCAAACCGTCCTATAGCCCACCGGGTAACGCCTCTCATTCCGACCTGTACGTGGAACCCGGATTGGGATGTTGCTATTGGGAAGCAGCTAGCAACCGAACGAGATAGCAAACGAGGGACTAACAGAGCCCCCGCCTTCAACCAAGTCGAGTAGATTTATAGAGTTTCGGATAGTAAGTATGCGCGCTAAATTTAGATAATGGAACATTGGCGTGGAATACGCCGCACCTCCACTGATTACGTACGATTAAAAGCAGCAATCGAAGCTATTCCTTTAAGTCAGTAACAGTACCGAAAAGTAATTAACCCGAACCATATAAGTTCCCCGTAGTGCTAAAAATCACTGAGTGTTATTGATTGAAAGTGAATGACTGTAAGCTTGCGAACGGCATAGGTGAATGTGTAAGGTATTCTGCTAGAAGAGAAAAGTTCCGATAGTACTGATGCAGAAACATATCTTTGTGCGTTTTATATGTTAATAGTTAGAATTCAGTTAGTAAAAAGTAAGCAGAAGATAATGTTAGAGAACAATGTATTTAATCCAATATCTCGATGTGATATCTCAGCGTCAGGCAAAACCGTTCCGTTCATATGCTACTAGGTAAATATGCACAAATGTTAAATACATTTGACAAAAAAAAAAGAAGGCCCAAACGTCCTTTTGGAGTATTTTATTGAAAGGCAAAAATCGCTACCGCACAGTTCGGTAGTGAACCTGATACAATTCAGTTTCGTTCGCTCAGTTCATCCGCTCACAAGCGCACCCTGCGATACGTCGCTTCCCCTCTACTTATCTACAATGTATTTGTAAATGAAGAGCCCGCGAACTTTTGAATAAGCTGGTTGATACGCTGCATACAGAAACCAATTACTTCTGGAGAGACAGGGTATTTTTAGTAATGCAACTAGAGTTTTAATCTCTAACACGGTACAGATCTTCGACCGACCCCACCTTAATAAGGTAATAATATTCGAAAGAAGACTGTCAGTAGCTCAGCTTGAGCAAATCCTCACTGTCGAGAGAATCGACCGCTTGACCCACGTTTGAAGGGAAGTTGTCAACACTTATCGGAACGCTCCTCAAGCAGCGCCACTCAGATGTTGCAGGCCATCTTACTTTGTTTGATTCCAGTAAGACTTGATGAGGCGAATTTCTATTGAGAGCGAAATCGACCGAACGCAAATATGTCCTTCAAGTCAAAGATACCAGGACGACAGGATCAAAGCGTTCAAAGTTGCCGTCCGTCTAAGATTCACAGACCTGTTTCAAAGGAAGGGATAAGGAATGGCATGTGTATATTAACTATACGTGGGAAGTACGTAGCGTTAAACCGAGATCGACGAAACACGTTTGCCAAATCAGATATGATTAAGCGAACACAAATCTTGAGCTAGATCGCTCAGCGTCACAGACGTTTTCCACGTTACCCGTACTGAGCGCGTCACTCGAGATCATCTCGTCTACCTTTTTCACACGACCGTTGATCATGTAAAATTACGGAACTCGACAGAAAAATGGCTTCACAAATACGAAACGTAAGTGAATCTCAATTGAGCAGAAATCTACGCATTGGACCTCGCCCGAAGTCCAATACACCATTTTGCACTATCGAATTCATTGCTTTCGATAGTAAAACATTGGCCGTAATCGAATCTCTTTGCCTACACGCATTAACGTTCAACCTGCGTCAACATGATTCCGTACGACGTTGATCCTTGTAAAGTTGTTCGCGGTCTGCTATTGCTAATGCGATTTAGATAAGTGTTTATCTACAATCGTGCGTCCATTAGTAGAACTTGATAAATCGACATGTTAGTCTGTAATAGTAGTAGAATCGGTGATCCCATTTAATAGTTCTCAGAGTATTCGAGTTACCTTCACCGTTAAGTGCTCACATCTCGTTTTAGCCTGAGGGAATAGCAGGACACGTCCAAACATAGAACTATCCGGAAGCTTGAACAAGCTGATCTACGTAACCCTTTCTGCCTTTCTGTTAACCCTAGATTCCTACGCGCGTGCGCCATTTTCAACTGTGTGTTTATTTTAACGTTAAACAGAATGCCTGAGACAGACAGATGTTTGCTTTCATCTTGTAAGAGTAAACATTAGCAAATATCAAAAAATCACATGTTGCATGTTTTGCTCGTGCATACACAGGCTCCACAAGTTGACAGCTCAATAGAGCCCGCTATAAAAAAAAAAGGCAACGACCTTATCTTTATAAGGGCCTTTTGCGGATTGGTTAATCAAGCGCTGAATAAAAAGGACAAGGCTTATCAAGCCTCGTGGCTGTTTAAATGTGACGCGTACGAGCATGGGGCGCGTCTTGTCAACAATAAAGGCGGCTCAGTTTAAACAAGCTAACTTGACACTTCTTTCATGCTACGAAAAGCACCCCGTCGCTATAGCTAGTTTTTTTACTTCTAAGTGGCTTGCGTATGGAAACTTCGATACGTCCTGTATCTGTCCGCGTATTTTATACCGCGTTCGTTCCACGCTCGTTAATACGTGTCTGGATAGAAATAATAGAGTAAATGAATTCGATTCTATTGTTAGCTTGTTTCTCATCGTAGTCAACAATGTGATCGTTCGTACCACGTATCTGTTTCTATGGCAAGCGTAGCATAGCTACGATTATACAGGTCCACTAAGTTTGGCCCAGATAATACCGCTAATAAAGGACTACCAATATGTATATCACTAATGGTTCTTATCTAAAAACGATCGGAGGCAAGGACAACGGAGGTAGGTAATCGCCTCGAAAGCGCTTAAGAAACATATGAAGTTTTAATAATAGTCCGGTTAGCTCTATGGATAAGTTCATTTTTACCAATTAAAATGCTTTTTCGAAACAATAGCGTAACAATACGTCATATTGTACCAATGTAATCCTGATTAACATCTGAATTGAACAGTAGACGTACCTGCTTCGGATTAACGATGCCCCAAATACTATATTTACCTAAAAGTGGGCGAGCGTATGGCCTTTGAAACTATGCGTTGAAACGTCTACGCAAATGGCGCCAAAAGCTGAAAACTGTTGCATGATATGGGAAAAGCTCATATATAGGGATTACGCACCTTTTTTCACGGTTACTAGCTTTTACTGCTGCCTTGAGCGTGGCATGTGTTATGTGTTAGGGGGTTTCTATACGTCCTTCAAATGCCTCTCTAACCTACAATTTCTTCTACAAAAAAAAATAGGCAGTCCTTAGACACAAATGGACCTTCTAGTTCTAGATTTTAATCATTTTCAAAAGTTATTTTAAGCTGCTCTCGTCGAGTTTATCGCTAAAAAAAACCAAATCTAAAAAACGCTGGATCCACTATGGATCTTAATATAGCGTACAGAGTGACGCCCTCGAGACGCTCAGAACGCTCAGGCCTAGAGTCGGAGTCGTATTTTTGTAAATTTCATTATACCGTCTCTCCTTATTACGTAGCGTATCCCAAAAAATATGGCATTACACAGATGTCAATCACATAGTCTTGGGAAGCTATCCCAATGACGGTTGTCACCCCAACATGGAAATTGTAGTTGTCTCGAGCGTGGATATGGTGTCTTCCCAAAGAGTTGGTTAAGAACTGGTAAAACGGCCGATGCCCTCATCGTGGTCAAACGTTCAATCGGCTATTAGGCCGTTTACATGACATTTCGGAAGCTGAAGTCTGTTCTACTATGACATAAGTTCACACTATTGCAGCAAGGCCATGCCGGACTGAGCGTAGTGCACTGCCAATCTGACTGCCATAGCAATGAATTCAACAGAAAATGAAATATCTGACACACAGCCGGATACGGGACATCTGCTATATAACCGCTGGGGATCTGTAATCTGCTCAGTCTAAAGCGGGGTAATTGAACAATCGACGCACGATTAACGAGTGAATGAATTAATATGATTAAATTACGAAATCAGAGCACTGGAAACCCCCCTGGAATAAGCTCAAAGAATGCACTGGATCCATTAAAGCAGGTTGACTACCAACAACAGGCTCACCACTATACTACAACAGCGGAATGGAGAGTTCAGGTTAAGAACTCGGTTTTAATCTGAGCAAATGAACTTACTTGTAGGGTAAGTTTAGAAAATAACGTCCAATGTGTATGTATAAAAATGTGTCCAGCAGACTTTTGTTATTTAACCAAAAAAACCGCGGAGAAAAGAATCTGGATCGAAAAGTAAACTTGAACATCAGCAAACATTGACTGTTAGATAGTATTATCAGTTAAAACCTTGTATAGTAGAATTAAGATATAATGAGAATATTAATTCTTTCTGCATGTTTCGGGTTTTGCGTCCGCTACTTGAACCGCAGTTGCTACAGACCTCTATTGTGGCCCTCCCGCAACAGAATGGCATGGCTGCTAAGTATATACAAGCATGTGTATAATTCAATAAAAGTATATAAAAAAACAACATCTACATTATAGAGTTAATGTTAGCCTCTAAGATAACGGACAATAGAGCCGGATGTTTCTTTGTTCGTTACGCCCTGATCGTCATTTAAGTTAAAATGTAACATTTTCTTGACGAGATGAAAAAAACCGATTATTGCAAAATGACCCAGGATAATTTTTGGCTTTTTCTGGATGTGCTTCAAGTCTGGTCCTAGCGGGAAATGATTTTAATGGCGTAGACAAGAGCTGGTGACTAACATGGTCGTAATGAGTAGAAAGTTCTTCACAGGTTTGTTATGGTGATTTTTCAGCACGCACCTTCGAAGGCCGGAACTCAGTATCCACCTTCTTCTTTTATATACGATAATGTACGCAATCACAGTAAATCAGATAGATTTACATTATGAACCATATCACTACACACGTATGACAGTCGCGTAATTGTCTCTTGCCTGGCTGGACATTGGCCTGCTGCTTAATAGCACAGTTACCAGTTAACTACAGAATCTGAAACCTGTTTCGTCCAGAATCAGAAACCCTGAAATACGTTTCGTATAACTATTGGAGGTTTATAAAACTAGAAAAGAACGTATCCATCGAACATGCTTGTCACCGTTATAGACTGACTTACGCCTATGGGCTTTTTAGAAGTCTAATCAAGACTCAACTAACACAATTAACACAGTGACCCTGTGAATATAGTTATTATCTTAGCTTATAGCAGGCAATGTATTCCAGCATCGGCTATCTGTATTAAGCGGGCCTAGAGTCTCGGACAGGTACTTATAAGCCGCTTCGAAAACCCCTGCCATATTGCCTTGCAATTCCTATCACATTCTGTGCAAGCCTGGTCTCCTATTTTCTAACATGGCTCGCCTCAATGTATTACCGGTTGTTAATTCAAGTTTCCATGTAGAGATTATATGTGGATGTTCTCGTTCGAAAAGCAGCCACCCTTACCGTAGAATCAAAGGGGTTTTCGCTTTGAACAATTCCTTGATAATAGAAAAATAATGCCCATCGAGAGTATTTCAAAGTGTTTCCAATTATTACACAAAGCGCGTCGTATGCAGTTGGTTTAGGCAACAAAACAGGTTTTAAAAACCTCTTTCAAGTTTGAACAGTTCAAACGTCCCTTTGCGACACGGCTTACAAAAATAACTATCATCTGCGTGTGTCACGGATCAACAGATTCAACAGCTGCAACTACGAATTGAGAGCGATACTTACGGGTAACGGTAGGTGGGCGTGTGACGTGGGTAATTGAGGTGTGTGCGGGGCAACCCCATCAGTAGGCGATGGAGACCGAAGACGCGTCTGTCCAGGTAATGGCGGGCTTAGACGGGCCCCAATGCCGCCGGTTCCACCTAGGCTGTTCAAGATGAGGCCAGTTGGGCTAGCCGTTTTACTTCCCCCAACGCCCACGTGCCCTTCGTGAGTGTCCGAGCGAATGTGCAGGACTGTAGTCGTGGCCAGTGGGCCCCCAAGTGACGTAACGAGATTTTGCCGTGGTCGGATGTCAGCCAGAAGTGAATTGACGTCCATCGTTGCGCCAGCAAGCGAAAAACGCGAGAATGAAAAATACTATCACAAATAACATCAATAACGAAACAGCACAGCTAGCAGTGCATATCACAAATGGAGTGCCGGTGCTTTAATGACTCCTTGAATGATTCTGCTGTTCATGAGCGTATCCAGTCCCTTCCGAAATCGTCTATTAGTGTTTATGCGAGCCTAATTACAAAAGTGATGACAAGCGTAGAAAAAAAAAAAAAGTATCTTTTAAGGATAACGATATATTGCCGTGGAGGCTGTTCTAGAAATGTATCAGCCGAATTCGCAACATGACCACAAATAGCCGTTGTATGGTCGGCGTGCAGTACTGCAATCAGTATGATATTGTTGATGCACGAGCATCGATCGTTCGGGAAATCCAAACGGTTAGTCGCCCGGTGACCCCGTTTTTCTAGCTTGGCAATAATTACTCAATTATTCTCGATCCCGATGGTTTCTGACAGTCGCAATCGTAACTGATCTCGCAGGATCGATGTAGAAAAGGCTCACAGCTAAGCGAGTCTGACCGTGAGATTGTTCTTTATTCTGGCAGGTAGGCCTACATTTCTATTTGAAAAAAGAAGTACACGAAATCGTCCCTTTTTAACCCGTTCATAGAGCTGCTGTAGGAAGTGTCAAAGCCTGTCGAGTTCTGGTCGATTCCACAGCATCGTGCACGCGAGGCGTTTCTCCATTAAAAACAACGTGTGACGTCTGCGCGATCTTCGCTTGCATACACACACACGCGTACACACACGTTAATACACACGCGGATACACAAACAATAGTGCATACACCAACTGTCAATTTTAGCCCGTAGAAGTTTCTCAATTATAATTCACACAAATGTTTAGTTAACTCGTCGATATTTGTTTGACACCCGGCATTCCCACCACTACAACCACTTCACACGTAATATGACGTTGAGCTGAATGCTTTTCATTTTGCTTTCCTGTTTTATTAACCTTGCTTTTACCTTATCTGATCTTTGAAGGAAATAATCTTGTCGTGTATAAGCGGTATGGCGTGCGTCTTCCGAAAGTTGGAAATCGATTCCAAATGTTGCGCATATGACCGGACTAGACTAGCACCCAACACTTGAGGAGAAATTCGTTTAGAGTGCTCGTTCTGTGCTTTGCGTGCGCGTACCCGGAAAACGACCGGCTGTCCCAGATGTTCTAGGCTGCTAGGCCGCCCCTGGGCTTTCTTAGCTCGTTTGCGATCAATGCACTGCAGTATCAGTCTCAGTCACTCTATCTGCCCACCGCCCGATAAATGGCTCGTCTGCCTGTTTTATCGTTCGCCTGGATGCTGGTCCGCGCTTAGTTCGTATCTCTGGGCTCCTGATCCTGTTGTCACTCACACACGCGTACACAAAGCACGAAACCAACCCGTTTCACGAACTTCAAAGAGCCACCGCGATGCCACGACACCTCTCCGGGGGTAGGCGCTAGGCGCGACTGAGCGATCCATAGCCCGCCCGACTTGCTGCGCCGGGCGGAGCCAACAGCTGGTCGGTGACCCCGCCTCCCCAGCGAGAAGTTCGCTGACTGGCTAATGGTCGTTCGACGATGGGCGGAACCAGTAGGCAGAGTCTTCAACGGCGCCTGTACTTTTTTCTGCGCGGAGGTATAAGTTTGTGCTGCGCTCTATTCGCCTGCGCTGTTCTGTGCGTGCGTTGGAGAGACGAAGAGCAACTAAACAGCCGAATCGGTACTGGAACCCATTTCGGTCTGTGCGCCGCTACCGCCATGCCATCCGATCCAGGCCCAGCAGCAATTCTACCGGCACGAGTTTGCTAGCCAGCTACTCTTTGCGAGCATTGATGAACGCGACGGAGGAAACAACGCAAGCAAGCAAACAAGTTGAGAAAACACCAACGAGAACGCCATGAAGAAAGAGAGAGTGGGGTAGAGGACGAACCCCATTGAAGGACGAAGGGAGGGATAGATAATATCGTAGTATCTGGCCGACAAAGCCTCGAAGCCCTGGAGACTCCTGGCCCGCTCCTTTTAGAGTAAGGAGAAAAATCATGCAGAGACGGAATAACAATTCGCGGTCATTCCGCTGGCCGCTGAAGTGGCTGCTATACGTAGGTGCCCAAATACATGCCCATTTTGCTACGACGGAAGCTAGCAACAGAGAGAAAACTGGCATCTACCAGATGGCTGGCGAAAATCTTGTCGTGTTGACGAAAACACCGCCAGCTACGAGGAAGCTCATAGGTAAGACATTGAAGGGATACGCTAACTAACGACAAAAGAGGACACGCGAGCGAAGCAGAGAGCCAAACTAGGATAATAACCATATTAAAAATAACACCTATATTAGTAATGGCAACTGGTAAAAGGACAGAAGAAAAGCCTGACTGCAGTAGAAAAATCGTGTATATTTGGACGAGAAAAAAAAGATGACTGTGGCAATGGCAATGGCAAGAGAGCAAGGCAACTGGCTCAGACCTTCGGGGGTATAGGATACGAAGAAATTGATGTTACAAAAGAATGACTAGAGGGAAGGAACGGACTTTTTCGAAGCGATAGGGTCCCGCCCTCTTCGTTACGAGCTTCTGTGCGGCAGAAACTGGAATATTGGCAGGGGTACGGGAATGACTGAATAGGAACGGGAAGAACCTTATCACGGCTTGTGAGCCAGCGGGTTAACGGAAGCCTCTACAATCGGTCGCTGCTGCAGCCACCATCAGTGTAGGTGTCGGGGGGTCGTCAGCAAAGCAGAACGAGCAGGCGTCCCTATCTGACTCCTGGCGGCGATGCTTACACAACGGGAAACCGACAGCAGTCTCAGCGGCCGATGTGGCTGCCACCATCCTCCAACAAGAACCGATAGTGGCGGGAAAGAAGACGGGTAGCGGGAAGTTTGCGTGCACTGCTCCTATTGGCTGGTGACGCTCGGGTCGCTGGGCCGTGGTTGGACCCGCAGCATCACGCTCATCAGAATTTCTTACAGACAGCAGCAGCGGCAGAAGAAAACGGGTAAAAATAGGACGAAGAAGCGGTGGGGATTGCGAGAAAAGTACGAAGAGATAAGGAAGGCACGCCAAGGAGGAAGAGAGAGAAAAAGGGGAAGAGGCATCGGGAAACAGCAAAACGTGTGGGTCGGGGCAAAGGAGTGGGTCGAGGTGATTGAGTTACAAAAGTACCAAGAACGGACCCTTAAAGCAGAACAACCCTAGTCATACTCAGGCACCAACAACTTTCACATTCACATAATACGCACCATTTAGACATCTACCGAATACATTTTTGTCGAAATATATACTTTTGTTTTGAAACTCTACTTCGTTCCGGCACCTGTGAGCCTACGGCGGTAAATACTACGTTCTGTGGGATGCAGAGGCCCCTTTCGGCTCTTAGCTGTTCTGCATTCCGCTTTGAGCGACCTTTGCGAGCCCTCGATCTTAAAATTTACCCTTTTCAATCACTTAATACAACCTCTTTTTTGCTACTTCTTAGCCCTCGTTTTGACAGTGAGCGCTATATGAATAGTCTCGATCTTTATCGGAAGAACCATCGAGCGCAGGTGAATCGTACTGAGCCTGCGAGAGATGTGTTATTGGCGGTCCGGTCGCCTCTGTGTATTGCCTATTACTGCCATTAGCAGAAGCACCGCTATGGTTGCTACTATTGGCGGAAAGCGTATTACCATCGAGAACGACAGGCTGGACACAATCCCGACAATCCCCAACGACTCATACCATTTCAAAAGAACAGACGCCTCTGCTGCCAACAAAACTGTCGCTACTGCTGCAGCAGCTATCTTCGAGCCGGAACGTCTTTGGCTTCTTTTTCCTCGTCAAATGTTTGCATACGGGATAGGCGACGTCCTGCAGCAGCGGCAGACGGAAAAACGCCCACAACAGCAGCTCGGAGCAACAGGAAGTTACTGAGCGGCAAAAACTTATCCAGAGACTGATTTTATCAACGACAAATACTCTGTTATATTAAAGCAAAAAGTCTAGTTTTATTTGACAGCTAGGCTTGAATATACAGTTCATCGATCATTACTCAGAATTAGGCAAATATAGGGCTAAATATTATTTTAGTGTAGGTTATCAGATAGCTTTTGTGCTGTTGGGAACCCCGATCTCCCGAGGACAGATCGAATAAAATGAACGTTCGTTCATTTTGAGAAAGCTTCTTGGTATCGAACTATAGAATTACAATAGTTTGTCTAGTGTGCGTTGTCTCCTCAAGCTAGTGCCTTTATAGATGCAGGCAGTGATCCCTAACGGACGACAGGTACACAGTATCAATTCAAATCTAGACTAGCGGAGTCGTTGGTTCATAACTGGTGCTAGCATATGAAAACCGGTCCTTAATAGAACAGGACACGAAATTCGTCATAACAGAAAATAGTGCCGTAGATGAGCCATTATCCAAACGTTTTGCGCTGCGCGAAGCGTCGATTATATTAAAAATAGTATTTTTTCGTCCAATTAACACTATGTATTATTGGCAGCTTTCATGGAGCTTTTGAAAATTCTGAAAAATCCTTAATAGGATTTTGGGTTTGAAAAACCTTAAAATTAACCAAAATAGTTCAAGAAGCCATTATTGATATAAGTGAAAACCGTTTTGGAAAGCGGAATATCAACTCCCAATTAAATGTCGTTCTTACGGTTATTTTTTGCGCACTTAAAAACATATGTTTTTATATATGATGGCTGATTTTTTTTTTTTACATATATGGTGGCTGTCCTGGGTCCCTGTCCTTTCGTTGAAGCTTCAGCTCGTTATTAGGCCAGAATTTAATTTTACTGGATTTTCTTTTATGTATGAATGATTTAAATAACGTTTTATCGAGTATATAGCTTTACGCATTGTAACTATCAAGATGTTAATTGCTGACCACTAGTTTAGGTCTCAAATTAAAACTGTGATCGCAGTGAATGGCGGTTAGTTACAAACAATAATACTTTTCATATATATATAAAGAATACTGCTTCAGCCTTATATGTATGGCAGACGACTACATTCATATACATTCAAAAGATATAAGTGATCGCACAGGCTGGAAAAAGCTGTTCCGTGCCGTACGTGCCGTTCAAATCGTCGTATCGGCTTTATGTTTAACTTTCGCTGAAACATTATAGGAATCAGGCCTTTTAGCTTATGCAGTCTTCTTGGCAGCATCGTTTGCCGTTTTCTTGACCTCGCTTCGAAATCAGTACAAAAAAACTAGCACCATTTATCATATACGTAGCACTCATAATTGTAGAATGATCCAAAAAAGGACTGTATTCGTTAAATCCGGATAGTTATGAAGTATAGGTTACACACAGCTGATACAGCCACTAATATTGAAGCTGCGGACAATCCCTATCTACCTTGTACTTTAGGACGGAAAGCACTTGTTGTGCATCAACTACGTTATGCGTAGCTTCTCTAATTTTTGTGCAGAACCAGTTAATATTATTATTCCTAATTGTTTCCTAAGAAATCTTCATTTCGGCTGTTGAGTTCTGGTCAATATGATCGAGGCGATGTGATTAGCAGCTCTCCATCAAGCATACAGAATGATCAGAAGGGCCGAACCCCAGCTGGGTTCAAGCAGGTGACCGACGACATGGAGTGAAATGGGGCCAAAGGGTAGTAGATGCAGTTCACTTGATCGAAACATCCGATATCTGAGGACGGAGGAGGAAGGGGGAATAGCTTCGATTAGTACCACTAGCGCCTCACCTTCTGCGTTCGATTAACATACTCCCTTGGGAATTGCTACTGACGTAGGAGTTCGCCGGCAGGCAAGCTGCCGACCTAGCGGACCCTCTTACTGAAGGGTGAAACTGGTCTTTTGGTCGCAAGCACTTTTCTCTTTTATAGGAAATCAACCAGTTTCTAGGTCTACTTCATATGTTATCCTCTTTGGTTATTTCGCCGTGGTTCCCAAATTGAAGGGATGACCAACTAATCTTCGAAGCAATTGCACTAGGTGAAACGAAGTATAACTTTGTTGCACCAGCTCAACTTAAATATACGTATAAGGGGTAAAGTTAGAGAATTGACAGTCAAGTTACGCCTAAAAATTCTCTACTAGCGGATAACTCGAAATCGCCAGGAAAGGGGAGGGAGGTGTACGGAGGAATCAAAATATACGACCTTAATCAGTTGTCACGTAGGTAGCACACACAACTAAGCTGTTTAGGTACAACATCTCGAATTCAAAGATAGTGGTATTTTTTTATTATTAAATTTATATAAAGCACTACAGAATACATAGTGGACTCTCGGTGGTCACTCGTGTGAATTCAAAATCAGTAAACTTTCTTAGCGTATCGCCGCGGTAGAGCAAAACGGCCCGGGTAGAGGCAGTGCCAGCGGCGGACTGCATCATCGTCGTTGGAGGGCTCTAATCGTCCATTGTTGCA